GAGAAGTGGCAAATGATCGTTTGTACAAGTCATTGTCTTGGACAAGTGGCCGTCAGAGCGTGGGTGACTGCATTGTCTGATTTTGCAAACTTTCGTTCTGCACAGGTTTGGTCACCCTGGATGAGATGAAAGCTCGTCAGGAAAATGTGATTAAAGAGAGAGAGAGGCAGCTAGCAAACAAGCACGCTGAGGCACGGCTGATTGAGCTGGCCAAGGAGGATAAGAAAAAGAGAGATCAAAGAAAGGTAAAGTTTTTTAAGTCTTTCCCCATTTGACATATGTAAATGTATATGAATCTTGATTGTCTTGTTTATGTTGAAGAAGCGAGATATATCAATATATATATAATTATATATGCAGTGTGTTTTTATCTTTGCACTTACATTTTGTTCTTTTGCATTGTACTTAATAAAATGAGCCTTGCGTGTCATTTTTCCCTACATTTGAATGTTAGCCTAGTTTACTGTTTATTTTTATTATTAATTAGAAAGAGCTAAGATTTGAAGCTTGTACATGTTTTACTGTCATGTTGAAGCTTAAAATATTATTAAAGTATGTTATGTATGAAGCCAAGTTTCCCTTCTGATGGAAAGTTCACTTCACATGACTACTGAAATAACGGGCCAGTTTTGTCTGAGTTGACTGTTTCAACCCTTGAAGGACATTATTATAATAATAAGGCGTTTCAGCGTCTACTCTTATCACATGTTTGGTAATGTATTTACTTTTTTAGTGACAGATTTTTCATTGAATATCTATGAAGTTTTTGTTGCTGCTGCTGTTGATGATGAATGCTTTAATGGTTTGCAACGTTGCCTCGAGTCTCAGTGTGTTTAGTTTGACACCTGTATGTTTCGGAGAAAAAATGAAATTAACGTTATTGGCTACTAGCCCATGGAAAAGAAAGTGTCGTACAGCTACAATAAAAAAACAAAAAAACGATTTAGACATTCCCCCTCCCATTCCCTTTTCCTTCTTTTGCTCTCTCTTTTTCTCTCTTTCTCTCTCTCTCTCTCTCTCTCTCTCTCTCTCTCTCTCTCTCTCTCTCTCTTTCTCTCTCTCTCTCTCTCCCTCTCTTTCTATTTTTGTTTTTCTGTCAATTTGTCCCTTTATTTGTCTGAACCTTTATGTCTGTATGTCTTTCAATGTTTACTCATCTCTCTTTACTTGTCTGTCTGTCTGTCTGTGTCTCTCACTGCTCTTCCCTCTACTCTGATATCATTTGTTTTTAGTGTTGAGCTTGAAAGACAAATGGAGATAACAACTTTTCATTTAGGAAGATTTTCAGTTTCTACATACATTCTGGCACACACATTCTGGAATTGGGGGATCAAGGAAATATTTTTGTAACAGATTCCGCCATGTATATATTTCAAATACAGAGAAAATATGTGTACCTGTATTTTTAAAAATCTGTTTAATGTGTAGGTGTTTGTATGTTTGTGCTAAACTGTAATTTATGATAAGAGTCACACAGAGAAACATGAAAAGAGAATGGTCTTTGTTATTCACAGATCACTATGCTGTCGTTTGACCTGGATGAAGAAGAGGAAGAGAATGATGACGATGATGACGAGGAAAAATTTTCAAAACCCAGCAAGTTCGCTAAGCCCAGTAAATTTCCGAAAAAATCTAGCAGCCCAACTGATTCTACCGAAGCAGATACTGACCAGAAGAGCGATGTTAAAACAGAGGTCCCAGATGATGACGAGGTGGCCGCAGAAGATGAAGACATGGAAGAAAAGTTTTCTCCCTTTGAGAGGCAGGAAACCAGTGAAGAGGCAAAAGAAAGGAAACGGAAAAAAAGACTTGGTAAGTGTCTCATCGTTTTCAGGTCTTGAAAACTTTACTCAGAAAAAAACTGATTCTCATTTTGAGTTCTGCTTGCCATGTAGTTTTTAAGTGAACAGATAGTTGAAAAAGTTTGTTCTACTCCATATTTGGAAAAATTTCATGGGTGGTGAGGTTGTTGTTTTTTTCCTTTCCAAAATAGTACTTACTACTTACTTACTGGGTTGGAGAAAAGGGATTATTGCTGGCGGTACAATGCCATAGCTGCTCCTCCCTTCCTCTCCAGGATCCATGAAAGGGTCTGCTTGCGGTTCCTTTCCCAAATAGTATTTTATTAGCTTTTTTTCACATTATGCATGTAACCCTCAACTCTAACTATGCAAAAATTATATACAACATAGAACTGCAACCGTAGTAATATAATGAAAATTATGTCAGCATCATTAAACCTTTCAACACCTGTTAAGGGAATGTTTGTCTCTTCTTGATTTTTTCCCCTGTGCATTACCAGGTATGAATCCTGATGTGGACACCAGTTTCTTACCAGACAGAGATCGAGATGAAGAAGAAAATAAACTCAGGTAGGTTATCTATAATATGGCACAGTGACCCATTTGGCATACATGTTTTAGAGAGGATGCTTCCTCTCTATGTCGTCCATTATTTCACTGAAAAGTTTTGGAACAGCAAGCTGTTTTGTTTTGTTTTTTGTTGGTGACATTTTGAAAAGCTTTCATAGTTTTTGTTCATTGATTTTATTTTGTGCATATTTCAAGAGCTCTTCTTGAATATAGACTTTAGAATTTAAACTAAGTGAAAGTGGAATTGTCTGTAAGTCTTTAAGATAATAGGACCTATTTATTAATTATTGTTATGATAGATGCAATCATTATTTGCCAAGCTATTTTTTGAAAATGTTTATGGACATGTTCTAAGACTATATTAGACATTTAGTTTTTTTCTCGATACGATGTTCAGAATATGGACATTTTATGCCATTTGATAGCAGTGGAGCTTGACATGCTGATGGCTGTAGCTCAGTTGGTTGACAAACGCGATCAATAGGGATGTTTAAGATAAATTTGGTTTTTAGAAAAATATGGGTGGTGGTCTTGTTTGTTTGGCTTTTCTTTTTGAAAACTGTTTTTTCTTTCTTTCTTTTTTTTTGGTGGCATCCATCGACACAATTCTGATCAGTTAGGAGGGAGCCTTTAACCCTGTCTATCAGAGCTAACCTTGGTTGAGAAGGGCACTATGTCCCAGCAGATAGACTGAGATACTCAATAAAAATTAGTAAATGGGGGGGGGGGGGGAGGTTTCTACATGCAACGGCAAAGTGCTGATACACGACATCACAGACGATGGAAACAACATGATGTGTGCAGTGCTGTGATTTGAGACAAAGTGAACTGAGTTGTGTTTTGAAGGGCGTAAAACTTATGTTTTTAAGAACTTGTGAAAATTGCACCTTTGATGTGTTTCTGTTTGGTTATTCAGGGAGAAGCTGAGGCAGGATTGGGTGGCGACCCAGGAGAGGATCAAGAACGAGGAAATCTCTATCACCTACAGTTACTGGGACGGCTCTGGACACAGGAGAAATGTAAAATTTCTGCTTCAAATTCTTTCATGAAGTATAGAATGCTTTTAAAAAGTTGTGGAAATTTTGTGAGAACACGGTAGCTCTTTTAACGAGGATGTTGGCCCACTTTCTCTTGAGGCAAGGGGGGTACTCACTTCTTGGGCAAGAGGTGCTCTCATTCAGGGGGAATTCAGCGTACTGCCCTAAGCTGACAAAAAGCCTCTTTTTAATTTTTGACGCCAAATTTTTTTATTTGCTAGAATCGATAGCCTGATCAGTTACCGTACTCGTGTGAAAAAATCAAAGTGAAACTGTGACTGGTCTAGAATTAGAAGTCAAATTTCGGAAGAATGCCATTTTTAAATGGCTAAGCTGACAAAACACCTTTCCATCTCAAAACTGCTGTGAATAAGAAGTAATTTTGTCAGTGTACGGCAGAGTAGACAGTGGCCTATTCAAATGAATATTGTGGCGTCTGTAGGCTACTGGACTCGTAATTTTGAAGTTGCGAGTTCCTCCAGGTTCAATGCTCGGGCCCGAGATTGTGTCCATTGGAAAGGCATTTTATATGAACTTTTCTCACTTCACCCAGGTATGAATGGGTACCTGGCCATAGACAGCGAAATATTTTGTCAGTATGTTAGTGTGATAGCACATGTAAAATGACTGCATGCACTGTTTGCTTCCCAGGAAGTTAACATTGTTTCAAAATGCTATCAGGTCTGTTGGGGTATAGATTATAAAGTGCATAGAGCTTGCTGTGAGGGAGAATTTGCCCTATTCAGATGCTATTATTATTATTACTATTATTATTATTCTCTCTTGTCCGCAGGCAAGAATGAAGAAAGGCAATACGGTCCAACAATTCCTGCAGAAGTGTCTGGAGAACTTGCGGAAAGAGTTCAACGACCTACGTCCAGTGTCTGTGGACCAGCTGATGTACGTGAAGGAGGATCTGATCATCCCACACCACTATTCCTTCTACGACTTCATCGTAACGAAAGCCCGCGGCAAGAGCGGCCCCTTGTTCAGTTTCGACGTACACGACGACATCAGGATGATCAACGACGCCAAAGTGGAGAAGAGTGAATCTCATGCGGGTAAAGTTTGCCTCAGGAGCTGGTACGAGAGGAACAAACACATCTTCCCCGCGAGTAGATGGGAGCCCTACGATCCAGAGAAGAGCTGGGACAACTACACAATTTCTGACAAAAACGCTGTGAAAATTACTGTGAAGTAGCACTTAGTAGCATTCCTCCTGTATTTTTACTCTGTGCGTTTGCAAAGACCCGAGGGTTAAATGAGCGCCAGTTTTTATCTAATGAATGGGTTTCAGACAAAGGCTCCCGGTCTGGGTCAGAGTAAAGAAATAAGCCTGGAGTTAATTTTGTGGTTCAGTTGTACAGCTATTTTACAGTTCTGGTGGTTCTGGGGTGGATCATGTCAACAAACAACTGTAGAACGAACACAGTATGATCGACTGGCAGCTTCTGGACAAGACGGTTCTACTGGATAGGAAAATGATCTTGACTGGACTTTCACAGCGCAAAAAGTTGCTGTCCGTAGATGTTGAGGGCATTTTGGAATGTCATTGCTGATGATTTTGGCATCATCATTCTGAAGTATAAAAAAAATGCGCACAATACACTCTTGTTCCATTTTTGTGTACATGATAAATATGTGTAATTGCTGTAAAGTTTGGTCTACAAGCTGTGACTTTTTTCCTCTGCTTTGAACCCTGAGGCTTAAACTACAATGTGGCTTATTTGTGAATTTTCCTGATTGCAGGAGCGTTATTCCCTCGTATTTTCTTAGCTCCATGCTAACTGTTCACGTTTCCCCTCCATGTTAAAGTAAAGTGTTGTTGCCAAAGTGTTTACTGTTCATATTGTAACAGTGCTAACTAATCACATTTTAAATCAAAACGGCATGCATTGAAGCCACAGTGAAACCAAGGCTGAAATTGGGGACAAAATGACGGAGGAAGCTTTACTCGATCCCTTTAACTCAAACACAGAAGAAGAAGATATCAGCGGATTCAACAAACAGGATGAATATGACACTGAAAAAATGTGATGTACATATGTGTCACCTCGTGGTAGAATAAGGCCCTCGTCATTTTTGGGGCATCTGGAGTTCAGTTAGTGGTACAGTGGAACTCAGATTCAACGGGCTTGGATTCAACAAGAACTTGGATTCAACGAGATGAAATAGATTCCCGTTTTTTTTTTCTTCTTTAAAATCAATAAAAATTATCCGGATTCAACTAGCACTTAAATCTGTGAGCTCGGATTCAACGAAGTCGCTTCCAGGGTGAACAGCCCCCCCAGACGTGGCTTCGCTCATTTTTCTCCCAGAACGAATTTTATCTATTCCCGGAAACCATCCATTGCACATGCGTTGTTGGCACGCACACGTGTCTACTCTGGCGTGTGTCGGGGTTGGATGGGCGGCTTGCACACATGTGACTGTATGTGCGTGTCAGGGAGAAGGTGGGGTGGCACTAGCGGCTCGGGCGTTGAACCTCACAGATACAAATGCGTCACAGTCTTTCTTTTCCACTCGGCAACTGATCACTATCACAATAATAAGCTAGTCTTGACGTAGATCTATGTAATGAATTGTGCGCTGGTCTATGGAATCTGCGCTGGTCTATGGAATCAAAAGTTGCTGTATGCTAGGCTCTTCTACACAGCAACACAACTTTTTGGTAAGCAATTGAGATGACACAGGCGTGCATTTGAACGAATCGGTCTTTTTTTTTTTGCGCAGCTCTTAATATGCAGACATTTCAGGCACTACTTGTGACTTCTCTTTATACATAACTTGCTCACTGCCTGTTATTATATCTATACAAAACCTCGTGTTTGCTATTACGAACACTCGGATTCAACGAGATTTTAGGTCAGGACCGGCTACCTCGTTGAATCCGAGTTCCACTGATCTTTTGAAGAAAAAAATACTTTCCTATCTTGAGTAGAAGTCCAGATATTTGAGATTGAAGAGGTCGGGGTCGCATGGTTTTAGAGGTTGTTGTTGTTGTTGTTGTTGTTGTTGTTGTTGTTGTTGTTATCGATCCAGCAACAGCTGGGCTGTCGCCCTTCTGTCCAATGCCATGTAGTGATAAGTGCAGGTTTGCTGCAGTTGCTGTAAAGTTCCATAGAGTGTGTTGTCAATGTTAGGTCTCGGAGGGAGAAGGGTAGCTCTGATGTCATTTAGGGCTGTGCAGTGGAACAGGTGATGATCCACAGTCTCATATGCATAGTCACACAAGGGACACATTGGGGGAAGTTCCCGGTTTATTCTGTTCAGGTGGAAGTTGAGCTGTATATGTTCTGTTCGTAGGCGGAAGATCGTGGTCTGTTTCTTTCTCTGAAGGCGGTTGATATTGTCATTCCTTTTCGTTGTGGTCATATGTTTGAAAACTGCTCTGCCTGTCTTTCCCAGGGCCCATCGGTCTTAGAGGTAAAATTTGTGATTTCCAAAGCTGAAGGGTCCCTGGAAACTGGAAATTTTCATTTGTTATGCTTTTTCAATGTTTTTCAGTGAAATCCACACAAAAATGTGTTTTTAAATGGGCATAGAAGGTGTTGAGGCAAAAAGAGAAAGGGAGTGCTTATTTAGGCCTCACATGGCCTCAGTAAGGTGAACCTCCCCACCTAACCTTATTTAGGCCATATGGCCTCAATAAGGTTTACCCCCTGGCGGAACCTTATTTAGGCCACACATGCTAAACTACCCTTTTCACGCAACTGAGTTCGTACCACTTTTGCAATGGTCACCTTTCTCATTTATTACAGTTTTGTCTTAAGTGTATAACTTATAAATAATAAAATAATGAAAAACAATGCACAATATATACTGGAAAATTTTGCTCAATCCCAATGGTTTGAATGAGGGCTCGGTTTTTTCCTTCATGAAGGGACAAAAGCTAGGCAACCATTTTGGCACACTTTAGTCAAGTGAAAAGGTCAAATCCTCCGAATTGACTTCCGGGTGAAATTTGGTGTATAAAAAGCATGTACACAACGTGTCGGGGGGCACTCTCTCGTAGTAGTAGGCAATTTAGTGAACGTGCACGCGACAGGGCGAATCGACTTTTTTGATCGGCCGTGAAGCTTTGTGTTTTGATGGGTCTAAAAAACTCGCAGTTTTGTTAATCGCACTGCCACATCCGACAGGTCTAGATCTATATCTTTAATCTTTTCAAAGGGAAAAGAAAGATATTCAAAATGGCGGTCTTCGGTGAAAATAGATTTGGTAGAACTGGAAATATTTGCTTAGATTTTGAAAACAAAGCAATTTTTACATTTCGAAATAAAGATTAACTGGCTGCAAATAAATATAATATGAAACTTCAAGTATTATTACTTTCCAGCATCTTTTGAGGTCTGAGTTGTATAGGTTGAAGTTTTTGCAACGCTAATCTCTAGGGCTTTCCATAAAAATGCATTCAAAAGACGAATGGACTGGTCAGTGACCGGGCGCCCCAGCTCTCACCTGCACACTGCGATCATGCTTCGGCATGGCATTATTCAACTATTAATCTGTCCCCTGGGTTTTATGCACCCCGCATAATTTTGCCAAATTTGATCATTTTTTGCATAATTTCTGATTATTTTCCAGTATAATTCTTTGTTAGAATTAACAGAATCGCATAGTTTCACATTTTTGGGCTCAGTTTGCATAATTTCAGAATTTTTTTTCCTCATAAAACTGCGGGGACAGATTAATACATGCGGCTATACTATGGCATTTGTGATGTACTAACTGACAGAAGAATTCACAGTTTTGTTTTTATTCTACCATATATTTCGCTTTTTTGAATAGGTGCAGATGATAGCTAATTAATCTAGATTCCCTGTCTAAAATCAGTAGTGAAGTAGTAGTAGGCGAGCAGCAGCCAGAGAGAGAGCCTACTAACTACATCTGCTAGATTTTAAATTGCTATGCCTTTGAGCTTTGGAATTGAAATTAAATAAAATTTGAATTGCACAGTTCTAGTTAATTTTAGTTTAGATTCAGCATTCTAACTTTTTTCCCAGAGTTCATAATAACAAAATTTATCATATATATCAATCACTTTTACTTTTATTAGATCCAACTTTTTTTTTTCTAAAATCTGTTTTGCGCAAACTTACTAGTAGAGAACAGAGTTTATAAGCCTCTGCTCAGACTTTCAGGACATAACAATTTTTCGTTATTATTTTCTGAATACATTTTTTTAAACTTATTTTTTACGTTATCAAATTGTGCCATTTTCTTACTTTGATAAAAATAGCATTAGCGGTGGACTTTTTAGATAGCGAATCTCAGGCTCAATATTTTTTTAAAAGTTGTGCCAATCAATGAAAATTGCTAATTGTATAATAACTGAAAACAATAGGCCTACAGTCATCATGAATAGTAAAGAAAAATATGTGGGAAAAAAAGATCTAGATGAGCGACCGGCAGGTTCACCCATTGTCTCTGATCGTTCCGTCCTCATCTCCCCCGATTTCTGCACGGTGCGCAGCCATGTTTGTGTGGGCGTAGTGTCTCGTCCAGACAGGGGGTTTGGGGGTGGGGGGGAGTGAGCAAAGATCCACGCACGACTATACACCACACAGGTCAAGAGGTTACGATGTTCGCCTATCAATACTATCATGTAGAAAATACTGGGATGAGTTCTTTTTAAATTACGGATGAGCAAGAAAATATTGGGAATGAGCTAAAAAAAAACATTACTCAGATTAGAGATGAGATAGAAAGCACTTGGGATGAGCTCGAAAATATTACTATTACGTATGAGCTAAAAAATACTGGGAACGAGCTAAAAATATTAGGAGACAGCTAGAAAATAGTGGGGATGAGCTAGAAAATACTGGGGAATATTATTAATTTATTGGGGATGAGTTACAAAATACTGGGCATAGAGCTAGATTTTATACTGGGGATGGAGTTAGAAAATACTGGGGAATATTCCGGATGAACTAGAAACTACTGGGGATGGCGATAGAAAATAGTGGGGAATATTCAGGATGAGCTAGAAAATACTGTGGAACACTGGGGCTGGAACCAGAAAATACTGGGGATGGATCTCTACAAAATACAGTAGTCTCTGCCTAAACGCACGGTGCTCGGGAGGGCTCCTCAGCGTGTGTTTATACGGAGCGTGCGTTTACATGAACCTTTGCAAGGGGAGGAAGGGACACAGTCATCTCAATTCCTTATTACTCTAGTGATCTCCCTTGGAGGAGGGGGTCATTTTGGCAGATAATGTGACGACACGTGACTGTTTTGTGAAGGATTCCCG